TTTGACGCTTACGTCATTTTACCAACGAAACAAAAATCCCACTACTGACTAGTCGGTTTAATGTTTCTGACACCCGTCGGAGGCTCAAATCGACTAGTCGGATTTGGGAATTTCGCCCGTCTCCGACTAGTCGATACCCAAACTAGTCACCGACTAGTCGACCCGTCAGAAAATGGCACTCCGACTAGCCGATTTGAACCTCCGACGCGCATCGAAAGCACTAAAACGACTAGTCTTTTTACTAGTCGAACGTCTGCATGGGAAAAGCAGTTCAAGCAACTTCTTGAACATACTACGTATAATAGACGTTTCAGTGATTTTACTAGTATAATGACCTATCCCCAAAGGCATATTTTTAATTTAAATTAATTAGATTTTTGCACGGTATTTGGTGCGTCTATCATTCAGAAGTTTCTAAAATCAGTTGATGCACAATTAAAAATAGAATACTGCACGGCTCAAAAGAATTCGTTCATTTTGTAATGAATAACACTATTAAGGATACAAATCACCCTAAAATATGAAAAAGATTTGAAAAGCATGTTGTAATTTATGAGAAAGAACGCAACTCAAAAAGAATTTACAAGCAGACACGTTCATATAGACTTACTGCAACGAAACGAGCAGTTTTATTCCATAATCTACTGAGCCTATCGAAACTTCGTTCGTTCGAGTTCAGGCCTTTACCACAGGTAGTAGACAGTCACATAGTCAGACGCTTTTTGATTGCGCCTCCAAGCTGTAACGTTGACCATTTGTAAAAAGAATCCGCGCAGAACCAGTTTGCCATGTTGCGTGTTCCAGAGTTTAGCTGCTTACCGTATGATACTAAATGCTGGAGAACTAAATCGAGCGACTGTTACAAGGTGGCGAGGGTATCCTTAAGACATCTGGATGAAACTATTTTTCAATCTTTATCCATGGTAAGCGCAGTTTATCCCGGGATTTATTCTATATGTCGATATGCTAATGTTGATATACGATTAAACATATCAGGCACATAACGTGTGTATCACGATGTCGTAGTCATGGACTGAGCTTTAAATAAACATTACCTTTACTATTCTTGCACTTCAAATTTCAGATTGGGATAGTCTAATTAACCGCAACTTCTACACTTCAACAAATTACTTTTTGACCAAAAGGATGCCAGCGTGTTTCTGTTAAACTTGTATTGTAAGCAAAGCGATCCGGAATATTAGTTCGATGGCTCATCTAAATTCATTTCTAAAGGTGTTTATTTTTCACTTTATGCAGTTATGTTCAAAAAAATAGTTTGTTATTCTATTTCAGGAAGAATTACCGAAATTACCCATACCAGATTTGGCTAATACATTGAATAATTATCTACGATGTCTTGAAACAATGTTACCACCTAATGAGTATGAATATACTAAACAATTATGTAATGAGTTTCAGGAAAAAAACGGCGTTGGAAGTCGTTTACAAGAACTATTAATAAACTACGCCTCTCGAAAAGTTAACTGGGTAAGATCATGAATGCTTGCATTATGTGAAAGACATCCAAATTGTTTTATTTAGAGTAATAAATTTATTATGGACGTTTGGTTTCTTTCATGTCCGCTACCATCAGTAATAAACAGCAGTGGTGCTAAGGCCATGCCGAAAGCAAATTTTCGAAGTGAAAAGGATACGTTAAAGTAAGCCACATTTCGCTATTTACTGTATGAAATAAAACTATCATCTGGTTTTGACAATTTCTGATGGCAATATGTTCGTTTATAGAAGCATTTTTTAAATTAAACGCTTATTAAGAACAAGAAAACTAAAGCAGCAGTTTGAATCATTTTAAATTTTTTAAGTTTCGATGTATTACAACATCATTGTCAAGGATATTTAAACACAAAGAATTTCTTTTAAACCGCATGGCGCCAATCGTGTACTTATATTTATACTAGACATCTAGCGTATATAGCATCTTCTTCTTTTATTTCATCTTCTTGATCTATTTAGTCATCGGTATAGCAAAAATTCATTATTCTAAACGGTTATTCACAAAGGATGACTCATCTTCGTCTAAAGCTAAGAATTTTCTACTTTCATGCTTTTTCTCGTTGTTCCTTTGACGACATGCGCTACACAAATACAAGTTAGTTATAAATCGCAGCCATTAGCCAGCTTGTTTCAGCCATTATTTAAGTGAACTAAACTAAACTGAACTTCATTAATGAATGTGAAAATACTTGTTTATTTGTGAGATACTTAGATAATGAAGGGATACATATACCCTTTTACGAACTTTCTATTCCAGAAGTTTCCAAAAAATTGTATTCCATGAAGCTTTAGAAAGAAGAGCGTAGGGAGATGCGTCTTGAAGCGATCTACAAAATGATATGCAATTGGAGAACAACAAATTGTGTTTGGCAGACTTTCTGTTCTACACTACTACTTTGTTTTTATCCTATCCGATCCCTTTAGGTTTTTTCACCTTTGACGTTGAAAAATAACGGAGACAAAAATGAAATTAACAAGAAAATTGAAAACATATATCATTCGACTCAGTTTTTGACCGTGATTCTGAATATAATAGTTTTATTGTGTAAAAGGAAACACAATATATTTCTCTTCGATTGCATACCATTTTGTAGGTCTCTTCAAGACATATTTAGTGGTATGCGAAACAAAGCGGGGCAAATCCATGTGAAGTGTCCCATCAATACGGCAGCTTTCTCCGCTTCATTTAAGACCAATCTAGTTTTATAGAGCACATCAAATTACGTTAGAAACTGTTTTTTCGGACTTCATGGCTGATGCAGAACCCGAGAAAAATGACTTTTACTCTTCCAGCAGAATTATCGGTTTAGCGCCACTCTCAATGCGAATCGATCACCACCGCGATGAATTTTACAACATGTTCTCCCTTTTTTCGAAAAACCGCTTAAGATTATT